GGGGGCTCAGGATTCTTGGGTGGAAGATGGCGTAAAGCAGTAATTGTGAGTGGTAGGATCGGGGGGCGGATAGTCAGTAGGTATTGAGCATACTGCTGAGAAGGCAAGACGTGGGAAGGTGGCCTAGGTATGTATGTGTTGAGTGCTTGGTTGAGTCTTGGTTGGGCTAATCAATGGATGAAAGCAGCGGGTGTGGAATTCTTGATCAGATAACTCTGCGATCAGATAAGCAGCGGCGGTTGGTTATATCAGCAGCGAGTGAAAAGGAGGGAAAAGGAGTCAGGGAGATTGGACGGGGGAAAGTTAAAAAAGTAGTACAATGGAAAGTTTTCTAGGACTAAGGAGGTCGGTCGTTGAGGTACAAAAATAAAATAAAAAATGGAGGGGGAAACCTGGCCAGATCCGGGAAAAGGAAAGGCCTGCGTGCATACCGGCCGAGGGGTGGTTTTTTTTTTTTCCCTCTTCCTTTCTTTTCCGTCGATCTTGACCGAGGAAGCAGTGTTATTTTTCTCGAGTTATTATCCTCATTTTGACAGGATTGACTGAACTACCAGGTACAGGGCCACACAGAGGTGAGGACAGACAGAACGACATCAGTCTGCATGCAAACCAAGGTACTCCGAAGCCATGGCATGGACTCCCAATTCCATAGAGAAGTGATGAAAACTGAAAGAAAGGCCCAGATTCTCCGCTTTGGTGGGGAAGCAACAGGGGGGGGGGGGGGGGGGGCCTTGGATCGCCTTGGCGCCACCTTCGTACCGTCATACACTACAGAGTACATCGTACTTCTCGGTGGCCGCAGCCGGACAGTGAACTGGGTCAGGTCTGCACACTGTTTCAATGCTGGGATGGTGTGCTGGGCTGCAGGCACTGTCGGGGTCAGCCAGTTTACCGGGTTTGGTCACCCGTCAGGATGGCTGATGGCGTTTGGCATGAGCTGAGCATTTGTTGAATGTCCGTGATTACAGCAGGCATGATGATATGATGATGATGTACCAAGTATCCGTACAGCGATGGCCGCAGGAGGCAGGGGGGACAAAAAGAAGCATAGAACATATCAGAAGCACCTAGTGTCGAGTACACGGCCTCGTGCTCGTGCTCGTGCTTCGGCTTTGGGGAGGGGCGTGTGATTTCACAGTTATCAATCAGCATCAGAAATGCTCGTCCTCCACTTTCGCCATCGCGGTCTACGCCGATGTCGCCCATCCTTCCTGATGACGAGAAGACTTTGTATTTGTACCTAGGCACGTCGTAATCTTTTCTTTTCTCCTTCCACATCCGATACGCTCCATCCTTCCCCCCCTTTTACCCAACCCCCGACCCATTCGAAGCTACCCGCCCTTTGTTTCCTCCTTTCCCGGCTATTCTTACTCAGCGTTGCCTCTGCCATCGACCGAGGTGGAATGACCCGAACCGCCCCCCCCCCCCCTCTCTCTCTCTCTCTTCAAAGCACCTGATGTTTTTCGGCTTCCGAACCTCTTGCACTAAGGCGCGTGGCAGAACAAGAATGTGGGGTTCTGGCCTCGCCGACGCACTCACTCCATCTGTCGGCCATTGGGACGACGCCTATTTCACCATCCCCCCTCACCATTGCGCTCTCCCTTCGTGACTTGCCGCTGCGCTACACTCATGCAGGTGGCGCGGTGCATAGTGAGATGTATGGATGACCTCCACTATTGGACATGGGCGATAATGATCCGAGCAGCTCCATCAGTAACACACCCCGACGTCCTACTTCGCACTCAGCTCCTGACGAGGAGCTCCTGGCGAGGACTAAACCCAACGATTTAATGAAGCAATCTCTTCGCACACCACGCTCATTCGATGGAAACGGTACAATGAGTGGAACCCAGTCACAAGTCGCTACGGACTTCACCTCTCACCGAAAAGAGCAGGATCCGGCCAAGAAACTTGTCGGTTCAGCCCATCTCACAAAGCCATCCTTTCCGTTAGTTTCCGCTTTGCACACTGTGCGCTCATGCCACTGCTGTGTGCTCCAACTGTTGGACCCTCTAAGCGCACCTCATGCTGCACGACTGCCGCAGGCAGCCCTCCTCGGAATGAGACATTGTCGGCTGCGATAGGATTGGACATAACTCGCCGCGTCCTGCATCCGCTGAGGCACACTACGGGCTACGGAAGCCGTTTGCCCGAACCGAGCAATTCCGGTCTTCTTCCCATCTCCAGTCTCCGCTCCCAATAAAACCGCTCACGTGAGCGCACCCGTCTTGAACCGAGTGCTAACCGAGGAGGAAGGACGCTTCGTTGCCCGTTGCCCGACGGGCCAACGATTGATTGTCCGCATCTTGCATTACCTGACGGACCGTCGTATGCTTTGGCCCATATGGTGCTCGTTCGTAACCCTTCGTCCAATTAGGTATGCAGTACGGTCTGCTCAACCGGGGGGGGGCTGTTTGGCTTTTTCCAGCTTGAGTCAACAGACATGATCTTATCGTCATTTATCAATCTCATCAATCTCATCAAATCAATCACATCTAATCTGATTGCGCACAATCTCCGAGACCGGCTCCTCACCCCTTGGTGCCGATGCTGGTCTAGCAAGCCTTCCCAACACAAACCGAGACCATGGGGCTGCGCAGCCAAGACCCGCCTGCGTCTTCTTACACGCACGCCTCTGTCTCATCCTCATTTCGCACTCGCGACTGTTCGTACACTCAAGGCTTCAGCTTAACGGCTACCGTTGTGCTGCTCCACCACTGCCAGCGCCCCTTTACATGGATAGCATGGGTTCAATCTGATAACTTAACTCACTTCTCCCCTTCATCAATCCCGTTAGCCAATCGACACTCCCATATTTTTGGCTACTGACCTTGATCGGTAGGTCCGCTCGGTGACCCACGGTTCTATTTTCGCCCTGTTTCAAAAGCTCATAAATATCTCCTTACCCTGAGTCGCGTCCTGATCGCGTGGCTCACATGGTTTGCATCCCCTTCCGGCCATGCTGTTACTTCGAGCTTGGAGCTCGTGTATGTGCCATCTGAGAGCTCACCTGGCCCCTCAGACTATCGGGAAAATCCATGTTTTTGGGTTTCCGGTCGTGACTGACCCATGGGAAGCAGGACAAACTTCGTCCGCGCCGTTCTGGGTTCAGAAGCCAAATTTTAGCGATATTGCTGCATTACCATGTGTTTGCCTTAGTCTGAAGTATTCGCTTGCTGCCATGGGCCCGAGTATGTCAAAAGCCCACGTTAGACTAGCATCGTGGGGCCTCCAGCAAGACTCTTCCTTCTCGGCCTCCCATGTCCGCCCCAGCATTTTCGTGTTTGCACGTGAACTTTACATCACTCGGCCAATCGACATCGTCATGGTTCGTGGATCACTCATCACAGTGCGCATGTACACCGGCCCCTGGGTCTCTCCACAACGTAGGGCACGGCGCCAGTCCGAAGGCGCGTTCCTGCGTTTCCCCCATCCCAGCTGTCGGTTCATTAACCATCGCCCCGGGTTTAGTGTGGTCCAGTCCTGGCTCTACGTATAGGCATGTAGAGGCCGCTGCCATCTCATCTCGGCTGTCTCCTGGGTACTTTCTATCCAAGTTAGCCCAACACCAGCATATGAAGCGTACCGCCGGTTTGGTTGGAGGTGGCCTGCTACCGGACACCATAGCCCCCGTTTCGTTTCGATATGTTTGTTAATGGCGAACCTTAAGATGTTGTGGAAGCGAGATGGTGAGCAAACCGACTATCGGAGGGCTATTTGGCTTTCAGAACACCGACCGAGGGTCGGCTAAGTCATCTGCAGGTGGATGCTCACCCCTGATCAAGGTGTTCGGTCCGCGAGTGCTCGACGTCTATGGCACGGAACGTGTGGCGTGCTTATCGCATTTTGCTTTGCTTTCACTGTATAATTGTCCACTGGTATGTGTGCAGTAAGTTGTCACCTGGAGTGGCGGCTAGTTACTACCTATAATGAATCTTGGAAGGGCCCAAGACCGCGACAAGCAGCATCTGTCCTAGTCAAGACCTCCGCCTGTCCTTTCAAAGGGTCTCAAGACATTTATGATACGCACTATTCAAGACGGCTCTGATCTAACGTCAAATGGGTGCCAGTCGTCTCACTGTTCGGCATCATTGCTCATTGATGCAGCGAAACTCCGTTCGCAGTGAGACCCGTAGATGCTAGAAACGCCATGTAGAGATATCATTGTCCTCGGAAACAACTTTTGGGCGCTGCCGACGACCCACTCACGCAGACCGATGCCGCTTGGGACTCCAGACGGACTCTCTACAGCGGATCTTTACAACGTTGGTGGCTCTCCATCCTCATCGCCGTCGGCATGGGTAGTGCCGTGAAATAGAGGTACTCGGTGCGCCCTAAGGCATATAGAATGGCGTGGCGTGGATGTCCAGCACCGAAACAGAGCTGGTAGCAACAGCCTTAGTATTCCACATCGCCAGCCAGGCCACGTTCTTCTTTCATGTCATATATCATCAAATTTCAACGATCGACTATCTACGATCACATCAGGCTGCACCTTGTGGACAGACAGGAGAAATTCCGCCATTTCCCCCTTTCTCAGAGACATGAACTCGTCAGCCGGCTTAGGCTTTCCGAGGACTGGACCGCCGACAACGTCTCAGGAGCACGCAAAGATCCGAATATCCCCAGAACTGTACGCGTCGTCGACGGGATCAAACATGCAAACAAGACATCAGCCCGCCATGAAACAGGAAGCCGAGGAACCAGAGATAAAAGTCCTAGTCGTTTAAGTTTGTCCCACGACTCGTGAAGTGTTCTCCTAGCTGGTTCGTCCTCGAACTTGTCCCGGGAGACATTCAGCGTCACTTCTTGTGCATGGATGGGTCTAGCGTGCAAGAAACGCGCCAACGGATACATTATCAAGATGACCTACCAGTAACTTTGCCAGAGGCGACCTCATCGGATATCCAATTCATACATGGTGCGCACTGCGGACGCTTGGGATAAGTGCTCAGGGCGCTGCTGGTGAATCAGGTTTAACCGCATGGACGATTGCTCAACTCTAGGCGGCAAAGGTCGTTGATGATGACGAAATGCGGAGCGCAGCATGTTTCGGTTAGAGGGCCCTGTCTCTGTAGATCTTATTGTCTGTCTTCTTGCAATCCATTCCGTTTAAGACCTCAGCAGATCTTTAACAGGCCTTTAACAGGCTTTCAATAGGTCTTCAACAAGTCTTTCTGCCACACGAGATTGCTGAGTTCCCATGCTCGTTGTCTGTGAGGTTAAGCAAGAAGAGACCCGATATCCCCGGCCACGCCATAAACATGAGCAATTACAGCCCGAGGAGAACCAGATGCGTTTGGACAACCTCTGCACTCCGCAAGCGCAGTCAACAGACCGTGGTGCTTCCAGCCATTGTGAACTAAACGCAGAAGAGCAAGTCCAAAGGCCAAGATACGAGACCTTATCCCACATACTTCACGCAACTTGTTTTCGCACGTGCTGAGGAAGACAAACCGGCGCCAAATGATGTATTATGCGGATTCGAGGCCAGTGATGGATGGATGGGGGCTCTGGGCAACCAAAAGTCAGATGCCACTCCCGTGACGCGTTCCCACGTTCTGCGTTACACTCAGACCATAAAGAGGCACGCACACAGCAACCGTGATATGGATGAATGAGAGTTTGTTACCAAGCTACCGGGTGTTGTTGCCTCGAGCTTTTCCCGGCAATGTCAGTCACTCAGTGTGCCACGTCCGAGTCAAGGCTCAGTATGCGCCCGAAATGGTAGCAGTAAACGTAAATTCCGTCACAACTCTATGTATAAGTCGCCGAAGTGGCCAGAAAGACGGACGATAAGAGAATCAAACTCTGAACCTACCGCATTTCCATTTCCATGCTAAGCGCTCATTATACTACTAAACCAATCGCGCTTGGTGTGATCTAGCCCGGACATGAACCGGAGACCTTCGGTGAACGAGATGGGGTCATTCGAAGGTGACTCGGCTTGTGAGACTGACTTCATAACTAACTACACAACTAGGTCAATAATGTTGTTGGTGGCAGCTCAGAAGGATGATCATTTGGGCAATCAAAGGCTGTTGTTGGTGGGAAGCCATCGCGAAGCTGGCCAGAAGCTAACAGAATGAAGGTGGTCCTGGTGTCTTCGGGCTACTTTACCAATATTCCAAACGACCGGGTTGTCAAGATCCAATGGGGAGGGATGACGTGCACACAAGTTCCGAGGGGTTTGAACAAGGCGTACCGAAAAGATTGCGAGTGTGTGTGTGTGCGTGCGTGCTCTAGCTACAGGATGCTGCTGACTCGTTCTCATGAATAGGGAGTAAGTAGGTAAACCTTGGTGGTTGGCTTGAGTGCCAAAAGTCTGAAGGGCCTTCCCTTTGTCATTCATCGTGGTGAATATTTTGTGTTAAACCGGATGTGGGGTGGAGTCAAGTGACCAACCCTTGCTGGCCCTGGCGATATATCCCTCACAGCCGCTGAAGTACCTTGAAGATCGTGGCGGACATAGCTCAGTTGGGAGAGCGTCAGACTGAAGCGGAACTCAATCCGATAAACTTCATTCAATCAATCTGAAGGTCGTGTGTTCAATCCACACTGGCCGCATCTTCAACTTTTGCGCCTAGAAGGTTCATTCAGTCCGCTGGCTAATCTACCTACCAGGCATCACTTACTTACTCACCACCCACCACTTGGGGCAGGCAAGTAAGTGGATGGACGGGACGGATAGATAGATAGGAGGGAGAGATGGAACTCGTCGAGAATACTGTTTTTGTGCTGCCGCTCTGATCTGCGTGCTTGCTTGGCCTTCTCTCCTTTGGCAGTTGGTCAAATGCTCTCTCTCTCTCCTCCTGACCGATGATGTCTGTCTGACTCGCTGCTCTACGAATACCAGCCAGCAACCGGCCTTTGCCCGCGGCGTCATTCAACTGAAGTTGACTACATGCGAGAACAATGGAGCTCCAGTGCGTTGGTTGATACTTAACAGACAGAACACGGCATTTTCCTGTGGCTGAGTGGTTTCCGTTCATCTGTCCATTCATTCATTGGCACTGTTCCATTCTGATGATTGATGCCTGGCGGTCAACACCGAGCCGCGTCATCGGAAAACCAAATGTTATGGCGGGATCAGGTTCAGACGGGGGTCAGTCAGCCAGAAAGCTAGTCGGTCGTCTGGATTTCCCCTTGTGAAAGAGCACATTCGTGTTGGCACGTGTGCCGACAGAAGAGTAATTATTGGCCCTCAAGCCGTCCGGTCAGTGCGAGCCTTGTAAAGGTTAACGGGCAGATATCGCGGCAAAACTGCGTACATGGTCTGTATTCACGGGTTATCCGGTATCGCCATTGAACGAACCAACAGTGCCCGACCCGTGTTGGTTTTTCGACCCGGATTGGCGAGGTCTGCTCACTGGGTGACAACGTTGCGAGAGATGGTTAAAACACGGTAGGTGAAGCACACGCAGTCCTCTTCGGAGCCGATAACAGTACCGTGACAAGCTTTGCAACGTGGAAGCCGGCTGCCGTCTTGGCAAAGAGGGTAGGTAGTAGCATGCATGGTCATGGAATACTTCGGCACCAGTATTTTTACACTGGAGTTTCTCGACGTCCACCAAAAACGATGACTGCACCGCAAGGTTCCTCAATAATACGAACCCTTGTCAGGGGGCAACAACGACTAGGGGCGGGCTTGGCAGTGTGTTGTTGTTTGCTTCAAGGGATGATCGTGGACGAACCATGAGCAATTGTAAACTTGTGGCCATGTTCCTTCCCTACATGTCGCATACCCCTTCCAGTTGTGGGAAATCTTGTGTGGTAGATGCGTCGCGTACCTCAAGGTTCCGTGCACATGGTGAACGGCCGCTGCTAGGCTTGCTTGGATGGATGGAACCAGCCGGAGACGCTGACAGGGGAGAAACCGCTAAGCATTGGGGGACGTCGGTTAATACTGCCCTCGCGGAGGATTACCCATGCGCCTATTCTAGGACATCATCCTTGGCAGGCAGGGCATGCGTTTCCCAAAGTTGTAGCAACCCTTGTGTGTGCTGATAGCGAAAGACGCCATGGCGATTTCCAGCTGCGCGGACAAATCGACAAGTAAGTTTGGGTCGTTGCATGGAACGGAGCAGGACAAAAACGACAAACAGCCCAGACGGAGACGGAGATGGCGACGCCCACAACCACGTCGTCGGCGAGAGGTACCTAGCGGCAGGATCCGAGACAAGGCTTTGTAGTTGTCAAGGGATGCCTGGTTGTCGTCGGTTGGTCGCCACGTCATCAAGGCAGGCGGCTCTGGTGTGGTGTTGGAGCTGCTGTACCTAGCTGGAGGCGGGCGGCACGGGTGACTCCTCGTGCAGACAATCTCAAAGTTTACTCGTCGCAGGAAATCTATACAACTAGGTTGGGCGATATCGAATATCGGATTTCCCAAGACATGTTGCAATTGTGGGACGGATTAAGTGGGCTCGGGGCAGATCCCAGATTTGGACGCAACGGAGAATAGAAGTGCGAAATCGAACAAGTAGAAGAAGAAGAAGAAGCAGCAGCTTATTGCGAAAGTTGAGGCGGCGCTTCGAGAAGACAAGGGCTTGGGTGGGTTGAGGTTAGAAGATAGTCGGAGATGGGATGAATGTGGAGAAGTTGCGCAACACTAACAATTTCTGGCGCGTCTCGGCCGCTAAGCGAGCCGAAAGATGCCCCTGTATCCGTGCCAGAGAGGTAGGTACCTAGGCAAGTAGGTAGGGCACATCACGAAGACTGGGGACGATTCTTGGATGTCTCTTCCGGGGCGAAACAGGAGAAAGAGCACTTGAGAATACCTGTATGGGTCCCGGTTTCTTTTTCCCCCCACCCCCAAGGGGGAAAATACATCGTACGTAGGGGGGAAGATTACCTAAAACGTCAATGACCAAGGTACCTCGGTAGGCACATTGATTAATACAGCATCAACATCAACATTGGTAACAGCAACCACAAGACCAGCCGGGTCAAGGGATGCTGTGGACACAAGGACGCCGGGCGACGGATGGCAATTCAAACGGACGCCTCAACCACTAGTGAGCCGATGCTTGGGGCTCTTCTTTGAGGCACGGCTGGTGGCAGCAAGCTAAAATCCGGAGGTGGCAGCTCCCGAACGACTCCTGTTGACCTCCATGTTTCAGATGCGCCTGGCAAGTCCGCGAAACCGCTCTCGACGTCCAAGGAAGCAGAGGTCGATCACGTCCCAGTCGGTCCAAACTCCCAAACCCTTCGGATTTCACTCGTGCTCAGCCCAGGCGCAAGGACAAGCCTACCGGCCCCGAGAGAGCGAGGTGCCGTCGAGGTCGGGGTTGCTTGTGTTCCCTGTTGCCGCGAGGGGAGGGAGAGTGGGAAGCCCTGCTTTGCCTGTGTTGCATGTCGTCTGTGTTTCTGGTATGTGCGCTCGCGCGCCGCGCGCCGCGCGCCGTATCGATTTTCGATTTGATCTGTACTTTTTTCTTTCTTCTGATTTCTGTCTTCTTTCGCCTTATTCACGGCTTCCACTGCTTGAGAGACCCAAACCGCCATCTCGTCTGTTTCCTGCCTGTCCTCTTCGACCCTGAGGCTCGAGATAGTTGAAACTCGACGACACCAAGCACATACCAGATCACTGCTCGAAGAGACTGAGGAACGAACGGGACGCGGCCAAGCAATCGACTTTTGCCAACTTCTGGCGTTGCGTTTATTTGACTTTGTCTCTTGTCGACCACGAACAACCTTTATGCCATCATCAGGCCGTCGACTTTGCACAAGGCTTGGCTAGTAATTCGCTCCTTCTAATGGCCAATGTCTTCGAGACATACCTAAGTCGTCATACTTCCCCTCGTGCTGCGGGAAGGCAACTCTTATTCTTTCACGATAGCGAGGCGATTTGATTTCGACATAGCTCGTACCAACGTGGTGTCGTTCTAACACCCTTTCAATTGAGGACCGATCCTTGACGCATACATTGTTCTGGACACAACGCCTTCAAAACGTCAACCGCGCCCCCAATGAATCAGACATCGACCATGTCGTCCATGCCAATGGAACTCAACCTGCCTCGCGTGGTCCCCGGGGGCAGGCACATTAACTACTATGTCGCCATCAGCACGATACTCTTGGTAGTTTGGCTATTTCAGTCCAGGAAGAAGACGATCCCCAGTATGCCTTTCTACAAGGCCGCCAAGACAAAGTGGATGTTTGACGCAGAGACGTTGATTCGCGATAGCTATAGCAAGGTACGTTGACGCAATCAAAGTTTTGTTGTCGTCGAGTTACTTATAGCATTCTTAGTTTCGCGATACTGTATATCAAATCAAGGCCACGGAGGGCCTGCAAGTACTGGTACCTGTAAGCCTCATCGGGGAGCTTAGAGGCCTGCCTGAAGAGATCCTTAGTGCTACGAAGGCCGTAGATGAGGTATGCCTTCAGTTTTGTTTCACTCATCTATCATACTGACAGTATAGGCCATGTTGAGCAAATATACAAACTTCACCTTGGGTGACCATGC